TCCCAAAAGGTTAGATACCACATGTTTGCCTTGATTTAACTTGTAATTTTTGTTTGGTTGTTGGTTATTTTTTGAACCTGTCATTGATACTGTCTCAACCCAGATGTTTCAAAGAATGGAACTTGCATTATTTTTAACATATTGTTTACCCAACACTATGTCAATTAATTCCATAATGTTGTATATTGATACTGAGGTTTTGTTGGGGCTTTTAACTGAGTGGATCTTTACTCTGTTAGCCCTATCTTCAGACTAGAGAAGGTCTCCCCAAGAGGCCACTGAACTTATCTGGACAATAAGACGCTGGACTTTATGCTAGGTATGTGTTTGCAAGGAAGGAATCTCAACTGAACTTGAACTGTGGTTATGCAACAAGGTGGAGGAATCCACCATGGGGGGAGGGGTATGGGAGGGGTGGGGGGAATTCCCAGTGCCTATAAAACTGTATCACATAGTACAATGTTAACAACAACAAAAAAAAGAAAAAAAAAGAAAAAGAAAAATCACTCCAGGACAGTGCTGCGTTGCCGCCCCCTGGTGGCCACATGCCTGCAGTGCACTGCAGCGTCTCCAGGCCCTGGTAATGTCACCAAGGCAATTGTTTTCACACTCAACTGTACACTTAATCACGATATTGACAGGCCAATCACAGTGACAGAAACAGAGGGAGACCAGGTGTACATGAGGGTCAAGTGTGTGCTTGGCAGGGCTGAACCCCAATAGATCTTTTTATAACTCTGCCTTTGAAATAAATAAATGAAACTCTTTTTTAGAAGTAGCTACTGGGCCCAGAACGGTAATCTTGTAACTAAAGTCCTGGCCTTGTATGCAGCGGGATCCCATACCGGTGCTGGTTCAGGTCCTGCTACTCCTCTTCCCATCCAGCTCCCTGCTTGCGGCCTGGGAAAGCGGTCGAGGATTTCACAAAGCCTTGGGACCTGCACCTGCATGGGAGATCCAAAAGAAGCTCCTGGCTCCTGGTTTTGGATCGGCTCAGCTCCAGCCTGATGGCTACCCAGGGCACTGGAGGCAAGGGGCTGATCAGCTCCAGACACGGCAGGTCTCCCAGGCTTCAGCCTGGAACAGGAGGGGTCACGGGAGCCAGTACGTCACCGGCCTGGTGGGATTCCAGTCAACCAATGGCACACCTAAACGGACATTCCTTACATGGTTGGGGCATAGGCAGCCCCTTCGCCAGCCCATGCGTCTAAAAGAGTACAAAACTCCTCAACAAATATTTCAGAGGCCCTTTCGCCTCCATCTTCCTTCTGCTCTGCACAAAGAGGGCCCAGGAGTGGATTTTCCAATAAAGCTTCCGTTACAACTTTGGACAACTTGCTGATATTCCGCCAGCAGGTGGGCGGTGGTCATCATCTAACACAGCCACTCCGGGGAGAGTGAACCAGCAGACAGAAGAGCCTTGTCTCTGTAGCTCCTTCTCTCCGTAATCCTGACTTTCCAATTAAAAAAAAAAAAAAAAAAGCTGCTATGCAGCAACTTGAGACAGAGTGCAGCTGGGCGCTCCCCCAACACTCACCCAGCCCTGCCCTCCGCCTCTTCCTTCCAAAGCGAGTATCTGTGGGAACAGAGACGGGTCCCAGCAAAGGATGACCAGCACCTGCCTGCAGCAAAGGCCTGTGAGCTCGCAGGCCCCACCACCAGCACAACTTCTCGCCAGGACATCTGCTGGCAGGTGTTATAAAAAGCTAACTCCTTTCTCACCTCACAGATTCATTCTTGGGTGCTAGTTGAATTATTATTATTTTTTTAATTATTCATTTGGAGAATCAAAATGGTGGAATAGGTAAGGATACGTTTAAATAGATGGAGAAACATTAGCAGTGTGAAGCAGAAGGGGCACATTCCAGGAAATACAAGAGGCCAAACAACAGCAGAGGGGCACCCGGAGGCTGACACAGGAAAGCAGCGGAGACAACAGTGTGATGTTGCAGTGACTGATACTCCAGCAATATTCAGCCAACAGTGATCTGAACTCCACCGGCAACCAGGTGGGAAGGGTGTTAACCGGGAGCTCCAGAGGTGAACCCGGACAAGGAACTGCCCATCCTGCTGGTCTGTTTGATTGGACCAGGAGCAGACTGCCAGAGTCCAGCTCCAGCTGAGTTCGGAGCTCGGGAAGGGTGCATGGAGTCGGCGATAAAGAAAGACACAGACACTTGTTGCTGCTTCCTTGCTTCTTGCTTCTTGCTTGCTTTCTTTTTCAAGAAGAAGCTGTTCTTTTTATTTTCTTAGACACATCACAAACTTCTGCACAAACGTTTGATTTTTTATCTTTTACTTTAGAACTAAGACAGCATGCACAGATGTTCAATTAATTTTTACTTCATGGTCAACCAGGTGCTCTTAAAGATAATTCTGTAAGTTACTATATTCAGTTTCTTTAAAGCAAGCCGTTATTCATTCTTCAGAAGTAGCCATTAGGTGACAGCCAGAACTCCAAGGCCAAGGCACAGATGGTTACCTGCTAATCAGTAAAACATTCCTACTGCATTTTATTTTCACAACTTATCACTAAATGGGAGAAATACATCAAAAGGGAAAAAACATAAAGATGTAAGACAAAAAGTTTCAAACATTAAATCCCCCTACAACTGCAGCCTCTACAACCTCATAAACAACCAAACAATAATCAAAAGTATATCTCTATGATGTTAATAGAATCGCCCTATATTTCCTCTAGTTAAAAGATTATGAAAGCGGCTAAAGCAGCTACATTTTCTATGCTCTAAAGAGTTGCAAGGACAGGCTAACCTTTAAGGTCACAGCAACTATATTTTTGCCATAGCAGTTTCAGCTCTTACTCCCATCACTTCCATTAGTTTGTAAGATTCTTGTTAAGCCGTTTCCCAGAAGGCATGCTATATTCTGGGCCCGATTTCAGGGCAATGGGTAGGCACACAATAAGGTGTCCAGAATGTCACGGGTTTAATTGTACTCCTGTGCGCAGTTAAAGGCCCACTCACTAAGACATTATCAATCACATTAACTCTTAAGCTCACAGTAGTTGCCAAAGCCATCTCACAGGGGCAAACAATGCCTCAATAGATTACAGAATTCTTAGTGGGGTGCTTGAGTGTCCATGCAAACAGGGGGTGAGACTGCGTCAAGGTGGTCAGAGAGAAATCGCCGGGACTTGCCAAACAGCTGGAAGCTCCCCAGGCCCTGCCAAGCAGGGAGCTGTTCTCTTCACACCTTCGTGTCATCCACACCTACTGCACGGACCCCAGCAAGAGACACAGCGGCAGATCCTAGACAGACGTTGCGGGAACAGGGGACAACAGTGAGCTGTGCATGCCCTAAGCTTGGCGAAAACTCACTGAGCTCAGAGCACTGCATTGGTAGTGCCATACCGACTATGGCATCAATATGGGTCAAAATAGGTCCGTGTGGCCCCCCCATACCTAACAACCAACAGGTTCTGGCAAGATTAGGAACACCAACAACCTAGCTATATAGGACACCTGGTGTCTCCCTAATCCTGGGACCTGCTCCAACTGGAAGTGGGAGAGAGGTTGTACAGACAATGGGGCAGCCTCAGCACGGTATCACAGGAGGTGGAGACTGGTGGGCCAGGAGCTGGGGCTGTGGAGACCATAATGGTAATACAACATCCAGGAGGAGCACAGAACTCTCAAAAGCGATCTTCGCCACGACATACGTTAATCAAGCTCTCTTCAATGAAACATAAGAAAAAGATCCTGAAATACGCACATGAAAAAAATCAACTGACATATAAAGGAATGCCAATTAAACTCACAGGAGACCTCTCACAGGAAACTTTATAGGCCAGAACAGAAAGGAGGGACATATTCCAGACTCTAAAAGCAAAAAATTGTTGGCTTAGGATAACGTATCCAGAAAAATTTTCCTTTGAAAGTCTTTGAAGGTGAGATAAAATTTTTCCACAGTAAAAATTAAAAGAATATGCCTTTTCCAAACCTGTCCTGCAAATGATACTTAAAGATGTTCTTGAGCCCAGCACAGTGGTCTAGTGGCTAAAGTCCTCGCCTTGAACACACTGGGATCCCATAAGGGCGCTGGTTCTAATCCCAGCTGCTCCATTTCCCATCCAGTTCCCTGCTTGTGGCCCGGGAAAGCAGTCGAGGACGGCCCAGAGCCTTGGGATCCTGTACCCCGTGGGAGACCCGGAAGAAGTTCCTGGCTCCTGGCTTCAGATCAGTATAACACCAGCCGTTGTGGTCACTTGGGGAGTGAATCATCGGATGGAGGATCTTCCTCTCTGTCTCTCCTCTCTGTATATCTGACTTTCCAATTAAAAAAAAATGTTCTCTTGACAGAGAAAATGATTGGTGCCCACCAAAACCAAAGCAAAGAAAAAGAAGTACTCAACATATTTGGTAGCCGGAAGCTGTGATCTGCAGCAGGGGTCTGCAGACAGGTTTGGGGAGGGGAAGCCCCAGCTCCTGCTCTTCCTGCGCCCCACATCCCAAGAGCCCCACACCCCAACACCCTCACAGGCCCACACCCCGACAACTCCACAGCCGGACACCCCCATACCTCAACACCCCCATACCCCGACCCTCCACAGCCTGACACCCTCACAGCCCCACAGCCTGACACCCCCACAGGCCCACACCCCGACAACTCCACAGCCCGACACCCCCACAGCCCCACAGCCTGACACCCCCACAGGCCCACACCCCGACAACTCCACAGCCCGACACCCCCACAGCCCGACACCCCCATACCCCACCCTCCACAGCCTGACACCCCCACAGGCCCATACTTTGACACCCCCACACCCCGACACCCTCACAGCCCCATACCCCGACACCCCCCCACCCCCCAGCCCGACCCGGTTCCCTAACCCGTCACCGCCCGGGGAACTGCGCAGCCGCCGCAGGAAGGGGCGTGGCTGCGGGCCTCGCGCATGCGCGCGCCGAGCCTGGCTTTGGCGGGTATTTCGCGGGCGGCTGAGGCGGCGGACCGGGAAGTCGGGTTCTTCGTGTTTTTTTTTTTTTCTTTCTTGAGCGTGAAGGACTTCTCCGGGCTCCCACGCCGTCCCTGCAGAGAGCGTTCAGCGGCGACTCCCACATACTTCGGAGAAAAGACTTTCCGTGACTGAAGACCGTGGCCTTGAGGCCCGGGGCCGTAGTCCGGCTTCCTTTCGGGGTGTCCGCAGCAGCACCCCGCGGGGCCCCGGGCCCGCCATGGCGGCGTCGGCGCAGGTGCTCACCCAGGAGCTGCAGATCTTCGGCCTTGACTGGGAGGAGGCTGTGCCCGAGAGACGTGAGTCCGACCCCGGCCCCCGCGCCTGGAGGTGGGGGTCCCAAGTAACGACCCTGAGAAACACGGGGACTGTCGGGCAGGTGGAAGTGGCGGCGGGCATGCAGCTCTTTAAAATGTATTTAGTATTTCTTGCATTATTTAAATGTGTTTTTTTTAATTGGCCCCTCCCTCACCAATTCACACACCTTATCGGAGTTAGGGTGTACGGCAGGATTAATCCCTCACATAGAATTCTAGCCCTGAGGCCGGCGTTGGGGCACAGTGGGTCAAGCCGCTGCCAGGGACACATCCCCTAGGGGCACTGGTCCAGCTCCCTGACCTTGGCCTGGGCTCACCGCCTTACTAGAATGGGCACTGTGCACCTGCCGCAGCCATTCTTCATTAGTTTAAACAAACTGGAATGCAACCATGTTCATTTGTGATGTGAGTCCCTGGGCAGAGAACAGAGGACGAGCTTCTTCTGGCTCGTCCAGTTGGGTGCCCAGGCACTCGGGCCATCTTCCGCTGCTTCTCCCAGGCTGGTGTCGGGCGCTGGACCAGAAGTGGAGCAGTCGGTACATGCGCTGGCACCTGTATAGGAGTCTGTGGCCACAGGCCGTGGCTTTATCCACCACTCCACACTGCTGACCTCCCTTTTTAAAGTTATATGAAAAAGGCCTGGATAAGTGGCTAAAGTCCTCGCCTTGCATGTGGCAGGATCCCCTATGGGTGCTATTCATGTCCCAGCTAATCCACTCCCATCCAGCTCCCTGCTTGTGGCCTGGGAAAGCAGTCGAGGACGGCCCAAAGCCTTGGGACCCTGCACCTGCGTGGGAGACCTGGAGGAAGTTCCTGGCTGCTGATCAGCTCAGCTCCGACCGTTACAGCCACTTGGGAAGTGAACCAGCCAATGGAAGATTGTCCTGTTTCTCTTTTTCTTTGTAAATCTGCCTATTCTATAAACATAAATCAGTCTTAAAAAAATAAAAGATTTATTTTTATTGGAAAGTGAGACTTACAGAAGAGAAGTACTCACTGTATTCATGCTTTTGCTTCTGTCCATTTCAGTAAGCACTTTTTTTCTTTTTAAAGATTTATTTATTTTTATTTGAAAGTCGGATTTACAGAGAGAGATCATCCCTCTGCTGGTTCACTCCCCAAACAGCCGCAATGACTGGAGTTTCTTCTGGGTCTCCTGTGTGGGTACAGGGGTCCAAGCACTCAAGCTGTCCTCCGTGCTTCCCAGGCCACAAGCAGGGAGCTGGATGAGAAGTGGAGCCAGTACCTGGGTGGGATGCTAGTGCCACAGGTGGAAGATTGGTTTGCTGTGCCATCACACTGGCCCCACAGGAAGCATCTTTTTTTTTCAAGATTTATTTATTTTTATCTTTTTTTTTTTTTAATTTTAACAATCTTTACATGGTTAATTTGTGCATAAAGGGTCAAGGGCTACAGGAAAGTGGGTAAGACTATTATTTCCATATTGTTTCCTTCATATATCTGAGGTAGAGGGGGATATTGAGGGAGAAGCCCCACCCGGTTTCCCACCCACCCCAAGTCCCGCATGTGGGGCATGCTCCGAGATACTCGTTGAAGTGGTTTCAATAGGTCACCAGTTTTGAAATTGCTGCCAATCTTGCCTCTCCAAACACGATGAGGTTGTTGAAAAATCCATTAATTGACATTGTCCATCATAGCGTCTCTATTTGCCCGGTATTTTGTTGCCAACCTATAGCTGAGGTGGTTGATTAACTTGTTCCATCTTCTGTCCCTTCATGGTTAGGGTTCTGAGTCTGGCATTTCAATTGGGTAGATCACCAGAGAAACTTCGTCTGAGGTGTTCCCAGGCCAGATACTCATATGCACCAGCAAGCACAGGGCCCAGCACAGTCCATCACCCGGTCAGCTGGTAGTTGCAATTGCTGGGTTGGTTCTGTTTTCAGCCCCGCCTTCTACTGGAACCAATGGGTGTTGCAGTCCAGCCTGGTTCTGCACAGCACATACTTGGTCTTCACCTAAACCAGTGGGAGCTGCATCCTGATGAGAGCGGCCCACAATAACCCCTACCAGGCCAACCCCCTACCCTGATTTGCCAGTATGTTTGGCAGACCAGTCCAATCTGACCCACATCCCCCCTGGTTCTCGTACATGGCAAATGGCATTGAAGCTTGGATCCATCTACCCAGCTCAACAGTCAAGCCTTCACGGGTGTGGTTGAGTGCCTCTCTGTCTAGCTACCCCAGCCCCTGTCCTAGTTCTCGTGCCTTCCCGTGGCAGTGGTAACCCAAGAGGGGGGGAACCCACTATTTCCCTCCCAGGTCTCTCACTCCCGGATTATGCACTTTCCAGGTGGTTCTGCAGTTTAACTTGACAGGATTAGCCCCCAGTGCCAGTTTCTGCCAGCTGATGTTATGGCTATGCCCAAACAGCCCTCTCCCATTCTAATTGTAGGTTGCACCCATAGGAACAATCAACCCATCCTGGCTTTTCCCTGGTCTAGTCCACATGAGGTGCACAGGTGTTGTAGCCCTGCTTAGTCTGGTCTGCCCCCATCCCAGTTCATGCTCTCCAGTGGGAGTAGCTGTCCAGCAGGGGAACCTCCCCTTATTCTCCCGCTGGCTCTGTCCCCTCCCCTCCTGTTTCTCACGTGTGCTGGATGGGCACTGCAGTCACATCCGGCACAGTCAACCTCCTCCTGGCATTCTGTAGTGTGGACTGGTTTTTATCGCAACCAAACCTGGCTCGACCCTTACTCTGTTCTGGTGCTCGGATTTGCCAGTGATGATGTGAACCGATTAGCCTGGTCTGCCCCCAATCCATGCCTAATGTATGCCAGTGGGAAACTTCTTGTGGCCTGCTCTGGGCTGTTTCCATTCATGCTTCTTGCGCTTACCCATGGGGTCTGTGTCCTGCCAGAGGAGTTGCCCAGGCTCCTCCATCAGAACCTCTCCCAGTGCCGGATTTTGCGCATGCCAGTGGGTCCATGAGCCAGCCCTAGCCCAGTTCCTGACTAGCTTTCGACCCAAGCTGGTTCTTGTTGTTGGATATTTCAGCCCAGCCATGGCTCGTCCAGTCCATTCCCACATACGGCTCACACATGGTTCAGTAGGGGTTGCGACCTAGCATAATCCGTCCCACTTCTATCCTGGTCCTCCAGGAGCACCAGACAGTGCTGGGGTCTGGTCCAGCCTGGTGCGTCCAGTCCCAGTCCACACTTGTGCCAAGGGGGATTTCACTGTTACCTGATCAGAATGCAGCCCCCATTCCAGCCCACGTGCTCCTTGGCGGTAGCCTTAATCCAGTTAGTGTGTCTACTGGACAAGACCCATGCCAAAGCTTTAGCATGAACTGGTATTTGGTGGTCAGCATTGCTAAGTGGTAACACATTCTTTAAAGGAAGAGGAACTGTCATTGGGAAACTTTAGGATGTATTCTACTCGCAGAAACACATCGGGTTCAACGTGGAGCCACATAAGCAGCAATTCAAACCACCAAAATCCCAGGGCTCTCCTCCCGGGCGGCCAGCAGGCAAACCCTGGCACCAAATGGCGCCCTGGCCGCCCAAGCCTGGGTCACCATGTGCCCATGATGGCAGGCATATGGGATCCGGGCATGAGACGCCCTGTCCCGGGACCCACCCGCTGCCGAGAGGCGACGGGAGGTGTAAGCTCCCAGGCCCAAGGTCGCGCTCCACCCCAATCCCGTCCGCCGCCCAATGAGAGCGGCAGGTGGGCCTGCCTAGCCAGGCTCCAGAGACCTCCCCCCTCGGTAGGTGTACTCACCCCGAAGGAAGCAGCCCTGGAACCCCGGCAGGCCCAAGCCCGGTTCACCATGTGCCCATGATGGCGGGCGTATGGGATCCGGGCATGAGACGCCCTGTCCCGGGACCCACCCCAAGATTTATTTATTTTTATTGCAAAGTCAGATGTATACAGAGAATAGGAGAGACAGAGAGAAATATCTTCCATCTGATGGTTCATTTTCTGTCCAATGGTTCACTCCCTAAGTAGCCACGATGGCCTGAGCTGAGCCAGGAGCCTCTTCCAGGTCTCCCACACAGGTACAGGGTTCCCAAAGCTTTGGGCCATCCTCAGCTGCTTTCCCAGACAACAAACGGAGCTGGTTGGAAGTGGAGCTGCCAGGATTAGAACCGATGCCTGTATGGGATCCTGGCAGGTTCTAGGCGAGCCTTTAGTCGCTGGGCCACAGCTCCAGGCCCCGCGAAACAGGAAACATCTTGTTGGCCATGGGTTCAGGAGGCCACAGTGGCCTTTACCTTTCCCAAACCAGCGATGAAGTGGCTGGCAGTGTCCATCGTTTCCTCTTGGCTCCCAGGCCATCACCCCTGGGTTGTTCTCAGCTTTGTCACCCTTCTCTCCTTGGCACCTACACCCACATCTTCTCGGGGAGCTCCCGGGCTCAGGTCTGGGGTAGTGTCACCTCTCTAGGTTTCTCCCTCGGCCATCTCACCTGGACTAAGGGTTTTCGTGTTAGGTGTGTTTGCCAGCTGTCCCTAAGCTTACATCTCAGCCCACACCGCTTGCCTAACCATGGGCAGGTGTGTCTAGCTACCTGCTTGATAACATCTGCAGCCGGAAGTCTGTGGGACATGTTGGCCTCTTTGTGCAGAAAGCTCCAGCTCCGAGGGGTGGTTCTCGTCCCCTCCCCCTTAGGGATACATGGGCAGAAAATGCAAGCACTGGGCTCAGCCACCTTACGTCGGTCAGCTCATCCCTCTGGCCTGACCACCAGGACATGTTCTAGCCCCTCACCCCACCCTGATTCAGGCTGGCATCAGCTGGCATCAGCTCTGATGGCTCTGAGTTGCCCAGCAGCAACCAGGGTGACCGTGGCAAGTGGGAGCCATGGTGTCGTGGTATGTTCCCGTCGTGGTGAGTGAGCGGCTCTCAGGCCTGGTACCCGAGATGCTCCGTCCCCCGTCGGAGTCACTGGTTTGATCCCCATGGTGCCGGCTCCCGCAGGGGAGATCTGCAGTGCATTCCTGGCTGAGAAGGGAACCAGCAGATGAAAACTCCCTCTCTGTCCCCATCTCAGCCTTTCAAATGAGTAACAAAAAGAAAAACAAATCACCTAGCTGTGAGCTGGTTTGCAACTTGCTCAGAGTACTAGCAAGGCTAGTGACAGTGATGGACAGTCTGTCCTCCCTTGCCACGTTCATCTCTTCACCTTCCTCGGTCACTGCCCCCTGCCGCGTGGCCCGGCTGGTCCTCCTGTGCCCTCAGCATCCCGGCTCTGCTGCCCTCTGCCTGAAGGCTGCCCCCCAAGGGGTGTCTGGCTCACTCCTCCACCGCCTGCAGGTATGCACCCCGCACTCACCTCCGCACTCACCTCCGCACACAGCTCCCCAACCCCCCTTGTGGCTTCGCTTTTCTGCATTGCATTTAACTGTCATTGCCTGCTTTGGTTAGTGTTTCCACTGTATTCCTGTATTGTCCCCAGCATCTACGTCAGGGTCTGACACCAGTAGGTGATGATTACATAGTGACAGGATTAGAATGTTCTAGTCCATTTGCAAGGTCAAAGCTGTGAGGAGTGACCTCTGTTCCTTCGGTCCGGGTGTCGTTCCTGCAGTGGCGGAGCTTTGCGTCCTGTACGGACAGGCTGAGGAGGACATGGTGAGCGAGCTCGTCGCCTTCTGCACCAGCACGCATAAGATGAACATCACCTCGGAGACCCTCGGGGCCTTCGAGCACGAGGTAAGGCCCGAACGGAGGCCAGCTCAAAGCGTGGTGGGCCCTGGACCAGAGGGCCGTGCTGGGCACTTGTCCTGGCAAGGCGTCCCAGTGTGAACCTGGGCAGATAACCTCGTTCCCCGAGCCTCGGCCTCCTCTCTCGGGTGTGTCGGTCACAGCTTTCTTGGTTGTCGTAAGAACTGAATGGAAGCTGGTGTGAAGCACCTAGAGCTTGCCGACGGGTGGAAGGGGACTTTCATATCTGTATGCTCAGTGCTTCGTGCTACCTCGGGCTGTGGGGAAGGCCTCTCCTAGCCGCGACGCTGTGGATGTAAATTCGCTGTTTTATTCCTCAGTTTCTGAGCAAAAGGTTGTCCAAAGCCAGAGCCCGGCAGGGGCCCCCCAGGGACAGCGAGCACGCAGGGGCCAGGGACATCGTGTCCATCCAGGAGCTGTATCCTTTTCTGCCGAACCGCTTTGCAGCAGGTCACATACTGGCTTCTGTAATCCGTCTGCAGTCGCACCGTGTTTTGAAAACAGTAAAATGGCCCAGTATCCAGATTCTTCCTGAATTGGCCCTTGCCTCGGCGGAAGTTTACTGTTGTTTTCCTTAACCAGCGTCCTTAGAATTGAGGTGGAGGAGGAAGAGGAGAGCCTGCTGAACGCGTACACCACGCCCTCCAAGGTGAGTGTGCGGTGCTTGTTTTAAAGAGGTCCTTTAAAGAGGTCCGAGGCAGCTTCCTGTCGGGGCGCGTGCCTGGTGCCTCACAGGGGGCAGTCCTGTGACCTTGCGCTTGTCGCACTAACAGTCGCTGGCTGCTTGTTGTTTATTATTGAAGATACAGTGAGCTCCCTCCGGCTGCTTTACTCTCCAGGTGAAGCCTGCAGCTGCCAGGGGCTGGAGCCAGGAGCCAGAACTCAGTCCAGGGGTCCCGGGTGGGTGGCAGGATGCGATTATGTGAGCTGTTCCACCCACCTCCCCCCACCCCCCAGCCCGCCCAGCCTTGTGACTGGAGGGCCAGCACCAGGTCTAACCAGGGACTCCCTGTGGAGCGCGCATGTCCTAACCGCCTGCCCTTATTTACTTATTTATTTATTTTAAGATTGATTTATTTTCATTGCAAAAAGTCAGATATACAGAGAGGAGGAGAGATAGAGAGGAAGAGATCTTCCGTCCAATGATTCATTCTCCAAGCGGCCGCAACGTCCAGTGCTGCGTCGATCTGAAGCCAGGAGCCAGGAACTCCCTCCAGGTCTCCCACATGGGTGCAGGGTCCCAAGGCTGTGGCCATCCTCGACTGTTTCCCCAGGCCACAGGCAGGGAGCTGTAGGGGAAGTGGAGCAGCTGGGATTAGAACCAGCGCCCATATGGGATGCCAGCACTTTCAAGGCGAGGACTTTAACCGTTAGGCCACCGTGCCGGGCCTAACCGCCTTTTTCTCATGGCCGCCTGGCTTTGTATTCAGTGGAAATGCTGCAGTTAACTAATGGGATGCTGTATTGTGGTCTCCCATGGGAGAAGTCGCAGTGTAGGATGCTGGGCAGCCTCAGCCCTGGGTCCAGTGCCTGAGGCAGCTGTCGGGGAGCTGGATCAGAAGTGGGCGGCTAGGACACAAACTGGTGCCCCTGTGGGATTCCAACGCTCACAGGGGGAGGATTAGCCAATTGAGCAGTTGTGCCAACCCCAAGAAAATGATTTTGTAAGAAAGTACTGCAGCTGTCTGCCTGGAGGGCAGGACAGCCACATGTGTCCTGTGGAGTCACTGGCAAAGCAAGTGCAGGTAATGTGGGAATGAGGTTCTCCCTCAGGGCTTGGGCCATCGCCTGGTTCTCGCTGCAGACTGTCCTCTGGAACCCACAGCCTGGTGAAGGACACCTGCTGGCCCCCCGCCCCACCGCTCAGGACGGGCATCCCGCCAGCGTCCTTCAGTTCTGGTTTTCTGTCACACCTTGTAGCTCACTTTAGCTACTAGTGTTAAACCCCCTTCCAGGACTTGGTCCGCTCTCACCTCTGCCACTGCCAGGGCCTCAGCCCCGCACTCGCACCGCGTGCCCGGCCTCTTTCCATCCCACCCACCTCTCTCTGCTTGTGCGAGGCGCTCTGTGAGCTGGCCGACCTCCTCCGACTTCCTCTCCCTGCTGTCCCCTCACTGCCTCTCTGCTCCCGCCATGCTGGTCCCTGCTTTTTGTTTTTTAAGTTTTATTTACAGAGGAGAGAGGGACATAAGTCTATTTTGATGTTAAAAAGTTTTTGAAATCCATGCATTGTTTTTCCACAGCACACCATTTAGCACGAACCTGTGTCTTGTTTGTTTTTGTCTTCCTCCCGTGAGAGGGACGCTGCTGGAGGAAGGAGGCTGGACGTGGCTCGCCTCTCTTGACCCGCACAAGGCCCAGGGTGGTCGGCAGACGGGTCTTCTGGCAACTGACCGCTGCCTGGCCCTGAGCAGACATGCCAGGAACACAGGACCCAGCACAGCATTGGTCTGATCGGCGGCTCCACAGATCCGGAATCCTCCGTCTGTGTCCAGGTTGATCAGTATATGCGTGGTTGCAGATCAGTTTGCTTGTAAAGTAGATAGCCTTCTGACTGAGTGAAATAACAAATGCTGCCATGGGAATATCTGGGATGGAGACCGAGTTGGGAATCCGACTTTGTGACCGAGGAATCCAGAGTTGAATGGAAGTGTTGAGCTGTGAGGAATGTGTGTAAAGCTCAGAGACGCAGGATGTGTGGACTGGAGGCGCGTGGGGGGAGTCACACCATCGTGGATAGGCCTGGCGTTTGCTGGACTGAACATTCACCTTCCCTAGAGACGGGGCTGTGGCCTGACTGCCTGGCCCGGGCAGCTCTGCAGTGCGGCTGGGGAGCGTGCAGGGGCTGCCCCCACGGGGGTCCTTGCAGGTGCGGTGGACAGCTGTTGTTTAGCTCTGTACTCTGCTGTCTTAGCATAACAGACGCGATGCCCTTCGTGGTTCACAATGGCTGGGCCCGCAGCTAGTGGAACCTGTACGAGTCCCGAGCTTGTGAGCATGCTCCCAGGAGTGGGCCTGGAGGAGATGGGATCTCAAAGACAGAATCACCAGGGTCAGACCCTCCTGCACGCATGTCTTGCCACAGTGTCTTTTGCCTAAACTCTCCCTAATACACAGCGGCACTGTAGGGAACTATAGTCCATCATAGATCAGAAGAATTGTTGGAAAAAAACTTGGAAAGACTGTCATGGCATAGCGGGTAAAGCCACTGCCTGTGACAACATCCCATGTGGGTGCTGATTTGTGTCCCAGCATCTCTACTTGGATCCAGCTCCCTGCTAAGGGTTAGCCTAGGACAAGTAGCAAAGGACGGCCCAAAGCTTTGGGCCCCTGCACCCACATGGGTGACCCGGAAGAGGGGCCCGGCTCCTGGCTTTGGATCAGCTCAGCTCTGGCTGTTGTGATCACTTGGGGAGTGAAGCAGCAGATGGGAGATGTTTGAGTTGAATCTGTCTCTCCTCCCTTCTCTCTGTAAATCTGCCTTTTCAATAAAAAGAAATAGATCTTTTAAAAAGTGAACAGGTGCATAAGAAATTTTCCCCCAACTTCCATCCCACTGCTTCTCAAATGAATGAATGAATGAATTTTAAATCCATCTGACCTAACTTCCCCAGTACAAATTCTTAAAGAGGGAGCTGTAGTTTGTGCTGCAGCTGTGTGGTTCTGTTCTCTGAGTCTGCGCTGATCACCAGGGGGCAGCATGGAGCGCCGACTGGGCAGCCAGGAGCGCTGGGCTGGGAGAGCTTCCTGGCTGCCCTCTGGCCCGGGAGGTCCATGTTTCTTGTGTTACATTCAGTTATCCCGGAGGGGACAGCAGGTCCCTCTGGACTGTGAGTTTCATCCTTCATTCCAAACTTTGGATTCTTGATGATGAGCCAGCCAAAAAAAAAAAAAAAAAAAACCCAAGCCTAAGAGTGCCCCTCAGTGAGGTGTTGGCTCGCTGCTCTCCCAAGCATGAACTCAGCCCTCGCATCTGCCTGGAGCCAGCCGCTGCTTTAATTTTGAAAACGTGTGGTGGATTTTGCCAAAACGAGCCTGGACGTGGTCCTGTCCGGTCTCAGGAGAAGTGTGGATTGCGTAACTCCAGGCTGTCGTGCAGTGGAGAGCAGGGAGGGCAGGCCGGTACCGGCTGCCCACCTGGCTGTGCTTCTTGGAACACTTGTGCTTTTTCGTAGTTGCCTTCAGAATGGGGTGTGATGGTTAATGCTGTGGCGTAGCTGCAGCTTGTCCTCGCAGTTCTGCTTGGAAGGAGGGAGCCCGTGGGGAGAGCCGACCTTCTCGTCGGGTACCATCTGCCCTTGTCAGGGCCCGCACCCTTCTTCCGTGACCTGGATCTCAAGTGACTGCCCTTGCGGTTTCTCTCTCGCTTCTAGGGCTCTCAGAAGCGAGCTATCACAACCCCGGAAACGCCCCTGACCAAGAGGACCCTGGCTACTCGGAGCCCCCATCAGCTCCTCTCCCCATCCAGCTTCTCGCCAAGGTACGGCTGGTGACTCACCCGGCTGCCCAGCGCAGCCCCTCCCCAGAGTAACTGATTAACTGCACGGCCAGCAGAGCCGGTGGCCCTGCCTCCTGGGCCGGCTTTTCCTTTGTGGAAAATTACTGTTTCTCACGGCAATTAAGGAAACTCACTTTCCACCCACTTTCCTAGATCAGGAGCCGATAGCGGCGGCTGAGTACAACCTGTCTGTCCAGAAGTCCTCGGCTTGGACTCTGGCCAGGGACACCCGCAGGCTTCACCTGCTCCTGCCAGGTGGTGTTTTGCTGGGTTTTCTTTTTTCTTTGTTTTCAATCAAAAATATTTATTTTTCAAAAGAGAAACCACATTTCTTTGTTCATAATGTTGTGTATCCTGTTTCTTACTCCTTGCTCAGATTACAACTAGTCCCTGATTCTTCACTGCCTGGGTTTATCCCCGCCCCCGCCCCAGAGATCAGGATGGTTCCTGGAAGTCCACAGAGGGCATGTCTGATGTGGGAAAGTCAAGTGTGGTGTGGAAAGAAGGGTGTCCCTGACAGCACTGCCCATGGTGGAGGGCAGAGGGCACCCCAACAGCACTGCCCACGGGGGAGGACACAGGGTGCCCATGACAGCACTGCCCATGGTGGAGGGCAGAGGGCGCCCATGACAGCACTGCCCATGGTGGAGGGCAGAGGGCGCCCATGACAGCATTGCCCACGGGGGAGGGCAGAGGGCGCCCATGACAGCATTGCCCACGGGGGAGGGCAGAGGGCACCCCAACAGCACTGCCCATGGGGGAGGACACAGGGCACCCCAACAGCACTGCCCACAGGGGAGGACACAGGGCACCCATGACAGCACTGCCGATGGTGGAGGACAGAGGGCGCCCATGACACCCCGCCCATGGTGGAGGACAGAGGGCACCCTGTCAGCGCTGCCCAAGGGAGGGGAGCAGAGGGCGCCCATGACAGCACTGCCCACGGGGGAGAGACTCTGGAGCCCTCACTATCAGGAGTTACCACCTTTTCTAGACTAACCAAAACCTCAGATTTTCCCAACTCTAGCCCCCCCCATTTTTTTTAGATTTTTTTTTTTATTGGAAAGTCAGATATACAGAGAGGAGGAGAGACAGAGAAGATCTTCCGTCCAATGGTTCACCCCTCAAGTGACCGCAATGACTAGAGCTGAGTCAATCCAAAGCCAGGAGCCTCCTCCAGGTCTCCCACACAGGTGCAGGGTCCCAAGGCTTTGGGCCGTCCTCAACTGCCTTCCCAGGCCACAGTAGGGAGCTGGAATGGAAGCGGGACTGCCAGGACTGGCGCCCATATGGCACCCTAGAGTATGCAAGGCCACTTTAGCCACTTGGCTATTGTGCCAGGCCCACTTTATTTATTTTAAATTTACTTATTTGAAAGGCAGAGTAATAGAGTGACAAGTCTTTCATCTGGTTGATGCCCCAATGGCTGCAGCAGCTGGGGCTGGGCCAGGCACTTCATCCGGGTCTCCTGATGGGTGGCCAGAACACAAGCACTTGGGCCGTCGTCTGCTGCCTCCCAGGGCATGCCTGAGCAGGAAGCTGGAATGGAAGTGGAGTGGCCAGGACGCAAATCCAGGGGCTCCGGCACGGATGGCTCAGCCATGCTTTACGCCCACCCCAGCTCTTTCACTTTAGATCAGCGGGGACACAGGCCCTTCAGTCATCTGAGACAGGTGCCCATTGGGTTACAGAGGGTGATTAGGCTGCAATCCAGACTGCAGGGAGTTCACAAGCAGCTTCGCCGTCTAATCTACTTACAAAGGCATCTGTCTTTGAACTTGGTGTGTAGGGATGGCTCTCAGATGGGCCTTTGCCTTCATAGGAGTTAAGTTTTCAGAGCACACATGGCTTTGATGCCTGCGGGCCTGCTTATATGTGAGCGCGTCTCATCGCGTCTGTGTGGGCCTGCAGTCATGAGTGCCCGACAGCTTCACAGAGCAGAGCACAGAGGTGGGTGACATGCCACCTCGTCATGTTTATGACCCCTCGTAATGCTGGCATCAGAAGCAGGCCTGCGATTCATGGAAGTAACTGCTGAGCCTGCTGGCAGAGGCGGGCTTGCCCAGCTCATCTTTGAGAGCCTACCTTCAGACCTGAGGGCTGCGAGTGGGCCTTAACTAAAGCCGATTTTTTTTTAAAGATTTATTTTTGTTATTTTTTTATTGGAAAGGTGGATATACAGAGAGGAGAGACAGAGAGGAAGATCTTCTGTCCGATGATTCACTCCCTAAGTGAGCGCAACAGCCGATGCTATGCCGATCCGAAGCCAGGAGACTTCCGGGTCTCCCACGCAGGTGCAGGGTCCCAAAGCTTTGGGCTGTCCTCGACTGCTTTCCTGGGCCACAGGCAGGGAGCTGGATGGGAAGCGGGGCTGCCGGATAGAACCGGCGCCCATATGGGATCCTGGGCGTGCAAGGCGAGGACCTTAACCACTTGCGCCACTGCGCCGGGCCCAACTAAAGCCGATTTTAAACAGAACTCTCACGTTATGTCCACAACCACAGAATCTAGGAGATTCTGTGTCATCCAGGCAGCTGGGCAACATCACGTGTGCCTGGAGATGGAATCTACTGATCAGCTAAAGGAGACGGGAGAGCTGGCTGCGGAGCCCCGCAGAACCGAGTGCTCAGTGTTCGCCAGCCGCTGGCTGCTGTTTGCTCACCTCTTCTCCGCCTCCCGGCTCAGGGAAAATAATTCAGTTTCTTTTACTACTGATGTTTCACCTTGGGAGTTTTCCTTTTGCCCAGCAACATTTGGCCTAGTTCCAGACTCACAGGAGCTTGTAATACATGCAAAATGTTGATAAGAAAAGAATAGCCTATGTAGCGCTTGCTTTTTCACCAGTTCGGTTTGGGTTTTGTTCTGTTCCCAGAGAACTACCTTTTAAGTATGTTTCTTTGCACTTTCCTAAACGGGTCTGCTTTTCCTCCTCGGCCCCTCCTCACTCCTGGCATTCCTGACATTCCTAAAAGGTCTGACCATGTCCAGTCTATCAGGTGGATTAGATTTATAGCCTAGGAGGCCAACTTTGCCCCCATCTCTGTTTCCAAAAAGTGGCCTCATTCTATTCCCGTCTCCCTCTAGATGAGTGTAGTAATGCTGATCCGTTTTGCTTCCAATTAGCGCCACACCCTCTCAGAAATACAGCTCACGGAACAACCAGGGGGAAGTGGTCGCCTCCTTTGGCTCCGTCCAGGGCGTGTCTTGGTCTGGAAAAGGAGGTGCCGGAAACATGAGCCTGAAGGTCCTTGGGTACCCCGAGCCTCTCACCGGGAGCTACAAGTCCATGTTCCAGAAGCTCCCCGACATTCGAGAAGGTAGAGTAAGGGGCTCATCTGGGGCCGCCAGCAGAGCAACTTCCCAGCTGCCTTTGAATAGGATCGGTGGGTGTCCTGTCCGTGGGGGGACAGTACAGGAGGCAGTCCTCTCCCAAGTCACATCCCGGTGACAAAAGCCTGAGCAATACAGCAACTTACAGACCTTCCCAGCGTCCTAGGGGTGCCCTCCGCAGCTTGACTTGAACTTCCAGAAGCCACAGTGACACCCAAATGACTGGGAGCCCAGGAGCAGGGAGAAGGACTGCTACTGGCTTCCGGGGTCAGGCCGCACAGTGTCCTGAGCCAAGCAGGAGGCCACGTTCAGCATGCAGGCTGGGGGCAGGGGTTAGAGCAGCCTGGTAGCTCTGGTGCCCTTCCCACACCTCTGACAGCCAGGCACCGTTTCCTCTTCCGGAGCCATGCTAATGCTGTGTCACCTCCGGGGTTGCAGTTTTGACCTGCAAGATTGAAGAGCTCGGCAGTGAACTCAAGGAACACTACAAGATTGAGGCCTTTACTCCTCTCCTCGTCCCGGCACAAGTAAGAGAGGTTTTCGCAAGGGGTTTTCATTTGTTTGTTCTTTAAGATTTATTTTTTTATTTATTTGAAAGAACTATAGAGTGAGAGGTCTTCCATCCTCTGGTTAACTGCCCAGGTGGCTACCACAGCCAGAGCTGAGCCAGACCAAAGCCAGGAGCTACATCCCCATCTCCCACGTGGTGCAGGGTGCAGGGGCCCAAACCCTTAGGCCATCTACCGCTGCACTCCCAGGCACACTGGCAGGGAGCAGCCAGGACATGAATTGCCACCCATGGAGGATGGCAGTATTGTGGGTGGTGGTTTTATCTGTTACGCCATCATTTCATAATGTTCTATAAGATTCTTAAGGTTCATGTATCACAAATTTACGTCTAGAAAAGGATGACAGGTTGGGGAAGATACGTAAAACCACGTTCTATCCAGGAGTTTGGGGAGGAAGTCGAGAAGAGACAGAGCTGCAGTTACATGAGAAGGATTCGACTTCCTCTCTGCTCCCCAGTGTGGGAGAGGACGGAGAAGTAATAGAAATTACAGCTCACATAGGAAGAGTGTCCTGTCTGAGGCAGTGAGCTGCAATGGGGAGGACATGGCTCTGGAACCAAGCTCCTGGCTTCCAACCCAGACGTCACCCTCCGACCTCGACTTGGCCAGCTCGCTGCGGCTTGTCCTCTTCTGGGCAGCAGGGACAGTAGCACCCTCTCCATGGCTAAGTGAGGCAAAGACGAGCGTGCACCCGTCAGCTTTCAGGACAGGGTCAGTGGCTGCTGAGCTCTACCCGTCCAAGGACATGGGGGGCTGCCGGGGAATGGGGCAAGCCCCCTTGCTGGAGATGCTCACGCCGAGCGGGGTGGGAGTCTGCTATCCCACGGACTCATTCAAGTGTCACAAACTCAATGCCAGGAGCCTGTCACTCTGCTGGGACAGATCGGCTGTGACAGCAATGGGAAGCTAAACAGCAAGTCCGTGATTCTGGAGGGAGACCGAGAACATTCCTCCGGCGCTCAAATCCCTGTGGATTTATCAGAGTTGAAAGAATATTCTCTGTTTCCTGGACAGGTGAGATGGGAGGTGCTCACCCGGCTGCGGCTGCTGGGCAGTGTCTCTGCTGTGGCGAGGCGCGTCTGTGCAGCTGGGCATGCTGGGCCGTCTGCTCTGCCTGAGTGAGGTGTGGCTGCCTGTGCCCAGGAGCTGGCACTCTATAGGATTCCACGTTTCTATGTGTGCTCTGCCCCTGACTTTGAGATCTAGCTGCCCAGCTCTGCCCCAGCGCATATGTGGCTGTGGGCCAGTTTAGATGTTTGATCTAAGACATGCTGTCTTCATAAAGAGGATAATGACTCTTGCTTCACAGGGCTTTCGCGAAAATTAGATCATCCGTGGACAGCATAATTAGTATTACTAATACAGCACTTTCGCTTGTTTTCTAGAAAAGTACTCTTAAGTTTAGCAAGTGAGAATAGCTGGACAATTGTTTTAGTTGCATCAGAGTCTTTTATCCCTGACCTGTCATCTATGTCTCCTGTTTAGCAATCCTGCTTTGCTTCTCATCTTGCAGGTTGTGGTTATGGAAGGAACCAACACCACTGGCAGGAAGCTTGTTGCCACCAAGCTGTACGAGGTATGCAGACTCCCGCCCCGGGCTGGTTCTAGGCAGGCTCGGTGTGTGCAGTCCTTGTAAGAGTCCGCATGCTGGTCAGTCAGTCCTCTGTGGAGCGGGAGCTGCATCAGCAGGGTAGCACACTGTCCCTGTGGAGGACTGGGAAGTCCGTGCTGGAGGCCTCCCTAGACATATGTGTCTCAGGGAGTCAGTTCAGCCATGCCTGTGCAAAGAAGCCACGCAGAGCTGGTGAATGACCGACTCTGACCCAATTCCTATAAAACTTCCTTGAGAAGAATGGGCCGTGGCCACATTTGGTCCCCGGGCCTCAGTTTACCTATTTCTGCTACAGACCACAGATCTCCAGATGTTCATAAAATGTCTGGAGCCGCTCTGAGCAGTAGGGAGACGTAGCAGGTCCCCTTGGTGCTGCAGGCCCTGAGCTCAGGAGCAGGGTGGGGGCCTGTTCCTCCCTCCCCGCTACCCGCTGTCTGCAGCCGTGCTTACCTCTCAGGCCTACCCGTTCCCTGACCCAGGTAGTGGCTCGTGCAAGACCTCAGTGGAGCTTTCTTCCTGTTTTTAAGGGTGTGCCACTTCCGTTCTACCAGCCCTCAGAAGAGGATGGAGGTAAGTCTTGGTTTAAAATTCACCTTGCCAACTGCAGGACTGCACCTCTTCAGGCCCCAAGAAAGCTGCAGGAGCTTGTGGAGAATGATAGGCGGCTGGGTCACAGGTCAAGGTCACAGGCCTGGGCCATGGCTGATGGGGACTTGGAGGTCACCTGGAAAGGGAAGAGGATGTTGGTGGGAAATGATTGTGTCAAAATAAACACAGTTGTTCAGTTGACAGATACACTGACATTGGTTTCTGAATTTAGATGACCGTCCCCTGGTCGCCTAACGTCAGGATGGCACTCAATGAAACATACTTAGCTGGTCCTCTGTCACTGTGGCTTTTCTAAAACTGTGACGTTATCCTAAAAGCTAGAATTTTATCAAAAAAGAATTTCTAATGTTACTTGGTAACTGATCTTAATGAAGAAAAATAGACATTTTTACAAACTTTGCCACAAAATATTTCCAAGCATTTTTAAGCTTTATGTATTTATTTTATTTGGAAAGCATATTTACAGAGAGGAGAGACAGAGAGATCTTCCATCTGCTGGTTGATGTCACCAGTGCCTGCAGCAGCCAGAGTGAGCCCATCCAAAGCCAGGAGCCAGGAGCTTTAGATAGATAGATAGATATAAATTTTAATTTTTTAAATAATGATTATATGGTAGATCAGAGTGGGAAGGATTGAGGTTTAGGGAAAATTGGGTGAACTCATTGCTTCCAAATTTGCCAATTCTTATTGTTCCTGGGGGAAGCGGGAGATAGAAAGGGGGAAACCACTCATGACTTCCCACACGTCCCAGTCCCCAGGGATGAGGAACCGCCACCTCATATCCACCCGGAGTCTCAATGTGCTGGACATATTCCGAGAGTTCTGTCCAAGTGGCTTGGATAGTTCTGAAATGCCGCAGATTTCACCAATCCAAGGGTGGTGTCTCCCTCCCGATGTCCATTGGCTCCATTCACCGAGATTTTTTGCTGTGATGTAGCAGCTAAAGCCCTCGCCTCGCACACAACAGGATCCCATATGGGCGCCGGTTCTAATCCTGGCAGCCCCGCTTCCCATCCAGCTCCCTGCTTGTGGCCTGGGAAAGCAGTTGAGGACGGCCTAAAGCCAGGAACTTCTTTAGGTCTCCCACACAGGTGCAGAGTCCCAAGGCTTTGGGCCGTCCTTGACTGCTTTCCCAGACCAGTGGCTTCAGTTTTAAGTAACTGATATCCCAACATGTTCAAATGGAAACTTCCAGAAATAAATAATCCGTATTTGATTGCACCATTTTGACTAGTGTGGTGAAGTCTAGTACCATTGCTTCTCGTCCTGTCCTTTGTGTAGTGTGTCCATGCTGTGTGCACTACCTATGCGTTAGTTCCTTAGCAGGAAACTGGACCAGAAGCAGAGGAACTGGGACTCAAACCAGGCACTCACATGTGGGCTGCAGACATCCCAGCAACAACTTACCCAGGGTGCCTAATGCCCTTTTTCCTCTCCCCTCCTCTCCTCCGCTCCCCTCTCCTCCTTCTCTCCTCTCCCCTACTCCCCACCCCTACCCTTCTCTCCTCTTCTGCTCTTACTCTCTTCTCTCCTTCCCTTCTGAGAGCTCCCCTTCACTCATTTCTGCCCAAACACCCACACTGACCAGGGCTGTCAGGAGCCAGATCCCTCACTTGGGTGTTACGGACACAGTCACAACCTCTCCTGTCACCACTGCTCCCTCCCCCACGACGTCCTGAAATGCTTTGTGTGTCAGATTTTGAACAGAGCATGGTGCTGGCTGCCTGTGGGCCGTACACCACGTCTGACAGCATCACGTATGAGCCCCTCCTCGATCTGATCAGCGTCATCAACCGGGACCGGCCAGATGTGTGCATACTGGTGAGAGGCCCTGGGCAGCCCACGGGGAAGCCTGGGGAGCCAGCCTTAGAAAGGGGGCTTCTTGAAGGTTAAGTCTGTAGGAGGCACATCAGTCAGTCTGTTTGAAAGGCTTAATTACAGAGAGAGAGGTCTTCCATGTGCTGATTCACTTCCCAAATGGCCACAACAGCTGGGGCTGCACCAGACTGAATCCAGGAGCCAAGAGCTCCTTCCGGGTCTCCCACATGGGAACAGAGGCCCAAGCACTTAGACCATTTTCCTCTTTCCCTGGTGCGTTAGCAGGGAGCTGGATGAGAAGTAGAACCACCAGGACTCAGCTCGGTGCCCATGTGTGTTGCCAGTATTATTTCAGGAAGTAAATTAACTTGCTGTGCCACATGTCATCCCCCTAAACTAAGGTTAGAGTATTACTTTTGTAAAAGTAGTCATTTTTCATTGGTAGATTTAGAAAGTGAAAAAAAAAGAGAAAGTGAGAAAAAAAAAAAGCCCAATGTTATGGGGGTTGGATGGCTGAGAGCCAGTGGAACAAGCCGTGCTCCTGGGGCTACCCTCCATCGAGGACTCTGATGCTCTGCCCGTGAGATTGGCTGACCCCTGCCCTCCTCCATTTACTAGCTGTCCCCGAGTTCTTCAAGCAGTGTGGGGAGATGAGTGGGCCCTGGGTGGGGACCTGCCAGAAGAGAATGTCCAGAGGGTTTGCAGCCACCTGCGGTCCTGACAGCTGCCTTGCGTCTTTGTTCCCCTCTGTCACAGTTGGGTCCGTTCCTGGATGCCAAGCATGAACAGGTGGAGGTGAGTACAGGCCGGGCGCAGGGGAGGGCTGGATACTTGTAGCCATTCTAACTCAGAATTTCACGGTTTTTTATTTTTGTTGTCTTTTCTTAAGATTTATTTTTATTGGCAAGTCTGATCTACAAAGAGAAAGATCTTCATCTGTTGGCTCATTCCCCAAGTGGGCACAACAGCCAGAGCTGAACCAATCTGAGGCCAGGAGCCAGGAACTTCCTCTGGGTATCCCACACACTGGCACCCAAGCGCTTGAGCCATCTTCCTGCCTGCCTTCCCAGGTGCAGACAGCGAGATTTGAAGTGGAGCAGCTGGGACTTGAACCAACACTTGTGTGGGAGGCCAGCACTGCAGGCTGAGGGCTAACATGCACAGCACTACACTGCTCCCATGCTCCCATTTTTACCTTTTTTTTTTTTTTTTCAAGATGTGTGGGTTTAGAGCAATGGCTCAGTAGCTAAATCCTCACTTTGCATGCACCAGGATCCCATGTGGGTGCCAGTTCGTATCCTGGCTGCTCCACTTCCCATCCAGCTCCCTGCGTGTGGCCTGGGAAAGCATTCAAGGGTGGTCCAAGTCTTTAGGACCCTGTACCCGCGTGGGAGGCCCGGAAAAGCTCCTGGCTTCAGATCGGCTCAGTTCCGGCCATTGTAGCCACTTGGGGAGTAAACCAGCAGATGGAAGATCTATCTTTCCTTCTGTCTGTAAATCTGACTTTCCAATAAAAATAAATGAATATTTAAAAAAAAAAAAGATCTTGTATTTAACGGCTCTTTTCTCAAAATTCCTGGAACGGCTCTATATCCAGGACCTTCTTCCTGGCTCTTGAACCTTCCACAAAAGGACCAGGGCCCTGAGCCCCTCTGCAGGCTGTGCTGGAGAGAAGTGGCTCAGCTCCGGCTCAGTTCTCGCTCTAGAGCTCCACTTTTCCACACCTGCCAGCCCGTGGGCTCCTTGCCCGGCCTCCGGCGTCTGACAGTCAGGCGCTTGACCCGTCTCCTCTCCTTTCTTGCAGAACTGTCTCCTGACAAGTCCGTTTGAAGATGTCTTCAAACAGTGTCTCCGTACAATCATCGAAGGAACGAGAAGGTCAGAGTTCAAAAGACAGGCCAGCACCTAGCTCTTCCCAGGGTCCCCATAAAGTAGAAGCTGAAACCTCAGAAGTGCTGGTTGCGCTGCCTCTGATCTTTCATGGATCACATGGGACCCTTGAACTTGCAGTGCGCAGGCAAAGGGAGGAGGCATCTTTGTGAGGCGCAAAGATAAACACACTTGAAAGGAAGGGACCGTGTGGCTCTGCGCCTCCTGCTGCACGCGGCTTCCTTCTCCCGACCCCTTTCCTGTAAACTGCGACCCATGGGAACCTGCTCCTTCCGGGAGCTTCTGAGGTGTGCTAGGATGACTTACACAGAAGTGTCTTGGGTTGGGGTGACCCCAATCCTTCCTCTGACTCACTGCTTCCCTGTGTTCTGTGGGGCGCTGCCAGGGACCAGCGTGGGAGGTGGGGGGAGGGACAGCCTACTGCCAGTGGGCGGGGAGCTCTCATAGCCGGACAGTGAGAGGCCAGGGCAGCAGCGAGAGCCCCACCAGGAAGAAGGTAACGCTAAAAGTACAAAGTTCAGGAAGCGGACATGCTCACTTCCTGTGCCTTTTCCCCAGTGCAGGCGTCCAGGCATTTGAAAGGAGTTGGTGTAGGTGACAGATCCCTTCCGGGTTTGGTTGCTGGGAGCTGAGCTGACAACAGTCGGCTGAGGTCCGGCCTTCACAGGCCAGTCTGGGACAGAGCTGGTTTTGTTGTTTCTTAGATGTGTTTGAAAAGCAGAGTCAGGAGACTGAGGCAGCCACAGAGAGATTACCGCACCCTCCGCTTTGCTCCCCAAATGGCCAGAACGGGTAGGACCATGCCAGGCCCGAGCCAGGAGTCCAGAGCTTCTTCCAGGTCTCCATGTGGGTACAGGGGCAGTGCATTTGGCTCCGCCCCTCCCTCCCTGCCCATCCCCATTCCCTCCCCCTCTTCCTGCTGGTGAGGGTGGCACAACTGCCTGCCCTCAGTTTCCCCAGCTTGCCACGACCTGGGTCAGTCTCATCGAAGCGGAGTGCTTAGAGAGCCTTGGAAGAGAGCCCTGAGAGGTGCAGACTGTGCCTACTCGGGGCTGGCGGGGACAGTAGCTGCCCCTGGCGCTGGCTGGTGCCCAGCGTGGGGGTGAGTTCTGGTTTGAGTTCCTTGCCTCCGGTGGTTTTGACAGTGATACAAACAAGGAACAGATTCGGCTTTGTTCCCTGGGGCGAGGGCCGGCGCCACCAGGCACTTTCCGCCGGGCCAGTATGTCCCGGGGCGGGGCAAGCCGCCCCACCTCCCAGACACCATCGATAACTTGGCCGTCAGGTGGGGAGCTTCCCAGCCAGGCTCTGGACTGGGCAGAGCTCAGCGGAGCCCCACCGTCTGAGGGAGCGGCCAGGGACCCTCCCACATGACGTGCGTGGTTGTGCAATGCTGAGCGTAGTTGGAATTTTCTTTTTGATCCCTTCACTTATAGCCAGTTTGTCATGGGCGGGAGGAGGACAGGTCTTTCTCCCTTTACTGCGGCTCTTAAACCTGCAGGGAGCCAACAACTGTCCCTCCCCAGCTGCGCCTCCGTCTTTCACATCCGTCACAGGCTTGCGCCCCTGGGCCTCGCAGCCTGGAGTGTCCAGGCCACCCACCAGGCTCTAGCGCCCAGATGGTGGGAAGGGCCACTCACTAGTCACAGTATGCCCCTCCGGGCCCCAGGATTCAGAGCTGGCCTGCAGAGCACCCCAGCTCTCCAGTGCCCACTGTGGTTCATCCCACAAGCAGGGGTGACACGTATGAGGGTGGCAGCCGTCAGCAGCCACTTACCACACGGGAAGACACCTGTGCCTGGCACTGCATTAGCTACCACGGTGCATTTTGGGTGTGCCCAGATTATAATGAGCCCGCCATGTGGTTTGAGACAGAGCTGCCAGCCTCCCTGCCCTAGAGGTGCCCGTCTTCAAGGGCCCACGGTGGCTCAGCCCAGAGTTTCTGCTGTGAAGGTGGCCTCGGGATCTGCGGGGCACAGGGGCGTCTCTGGGGAGGGCCCGCCCTGAGGCCAGGTTCTTCAGGCCCGTCTGACTTTCTGTATCTCGGTTTCCTCTTATGCCCCCAAGCAGTTGTCTCCCTGCCCTGTGCCCTATGGGGCGTCACCTGGCTGAGAGGTGACTGGGTGGTCAGGGCCTCTCCAGATGGAGGTGAGCGGGCAGGTGGAAGGCATGTCCCCTGGGGGCATCTCCGCACACTCCCACTGGGGTCCGGTGCCCAGTCCTACTCCTCCATCCGCTCACCTCCTCCTCCCTCCCGTGCAGCTCTGGCTCCCACCTCGTCTTTGTGCCATCACTCCGGGACGTGCACCATGAGCCCGTGTACCCACAACCGCCCTTCAGCTACTCGGAGCTGTCTCAGGAGGACAAAAAGGTACTGGCCGGCACGGCTCAGGGCCGCCAGCTTGGGCAGAGAGGCCCTGTGTGTGCTAGCAGGCCAAGGCGATCTTGCTGTGTGTGGGTTTGGTTCCTGTGGCCCTTGGGGACCACCGGCCCAACACACACCCTCCCAGGGAGAACGTTTCTGGCTGGGTGTGCAGGCATCTGTTCCCACCTCTCCCACAGCGCGTGCAGTTCGTGTCGGAGCCCTGCAGCCTCTCCGTCAACGGCGTGATCTTCGGCTTGACGTCCACCGACCTGCTGTTCCACATGGGGGCTGAGGAGATCAGTAGGTGAGGAGGGGGTCCACTCCCTGCGGTGCAGCCCCAGCAGGGCAGGGGTCCCTGAACTCTCCGAGGCTTTCTGTGTGCTGTGGGTCAGCCGTGTGGGTCCATGTCACTCAGAGACACCCCAGGGGCTGGAAACGAGAGTCTGTCCCCACCTCTCTGCCTCGCCTTCCCTCCCCAGTTCTTCCGGAACTTCAGACAGATTCAGCCGGATCCTCAAGCACATCCTGACCCAGCGGAGGTGAGCCTGCCTGCCCGGGAGAAGAGGACCTGGGGCCCCAGCATCGTGAGGGATGCAGTGGGCAGCAGCAGGGCATGGCGCCCTGGGGCACACAGCGACAGCTCAGTCACCGCCCACTCCTCACCTCTTTCTCTCTCCTGCAGCTACTACCCACTCTACCCTCCCCAGGAGGACACGGCCATCGACTATGAGAACTTCTACACCTACGCTCAGCTGCCCGTCACCCCAGATGTCTTCATTGTCCCCTCAGAGCTGAGGTACTTCGTGAAGGTGGGTTTCGGCTTATGCTCCCTAGAAGCGCCGGAGCCACCCCAGCACAGGCCTGCTACTCAGCCAGCGGCCCCGCGCGCCGGCACTGGGGCCTCATTGCGGGACAGAGGGAGGTTAGGATTAAATGGCAAATCTGCTAGGAACCACTACTGAAGACAGGCGTCCCGGTGGTCCCTGGCCGGTGGCCGTGTTAAGGCCCCGCGGTCCCAGGCAGGCCCTCACGGCTGTCATAGCGCCGTGTCAGGTGACTGGGTCCTGTGTCTGCCCACCTCGGCTTGGGCCCCGACTGGGAACCCGCCCACACTGGTGCCCCTCTTCCCAGACCAGAACCAGGCCACCCACCGGCTCAGTGGTTCCCATGTGGGAAAACAATGGACAAAGAGCACGCATTGTCCCACGCTGGGGGCTAGCTGTCACCCTGCCCGCCCACCTCCTTAAGGGAGCTGTGGTTTGTAGCAGTAGGTTCCCAAGTGGTGCCATCCCGGGGATCCCAGCATTGAGCGACTCTGCCACCTGACCCACCGCCTTGCCTTCCCTTCCCAGGACGTCCTCGGCTGCGTGTGTGTGAACCCCGGGCGCCTCACCAAGGGCCAAGTGGGAGGTACCTACGGCCGCCTCTACCTCAGGAGGCCGCCAGTGGATGGCGAGGGCAGGCGGGGCCCTTGTGCCGCTGCCCAGGTGGTCAGGATCTGAGACCCCAGCTATTTCCTTTGCCCCTGGCACGGCCCACACAGGTGCCCGTCAGATTGAACTTTTCCTCCAGAAGCAGCTCTGGCTTTGAAGTGGACATGCGATGTCCAGAAGTGGACGGCTGTGGCGTGGCCGAAACAGTCCAGAAGGTTCTGTGATCGTCTGTGTGAATCAGCCACCCGCATAGCTGGAGCATGAATAACAGGGAATTCTGGGTGATTCTGAGTTCAGCCTGCTCTGCGTTTCCTGATAGCTGACAAGGAATGTGGCCCGCCTGACCTGTGTCCAGAGAGGGCAGGGTGCCGCTCACACGGGGCTCTGGGCAGCCCCTCAGCCCCACCCTCTGAGGCGCCCAGGCTGCAGAGGAGCTCCTGGCCACCAGCCCAGCCCCCGCGCTGCACGGGCCCCTCACAGCACACTGCACTCCCAGAGCTTGGCTCGCAGCTGCCCCGGTCTTGCCCAGAGCCCAGAGCATTCAGACAGGGACAGGCTTTCTGGGTGCCCCAGGCCGGCGTGGCTCAGAGCAGAACCCTGCTGCAGGACAGGACCCGTGAGCCGTCAGCAAGCACCAGCACTGGACTTTGACTCAGGTCAGCAGCCTGTGGGCTGGCTGGTTGCTTCCCTTCAAGGACCTACCTGCTCCTGGGCTCTGTCAGTTATCCACGTACCATCTCCACCTCTGAGGGACTGCTCCTGCCCCGCAGCCGGATTAGGTCACCCCAGTTTGGGAACATCATTTCATGATTGCACTTCTACCAAGCCCCTTGGCAGCAGGAAAGCCACCCCATGCCTTGGCAGCACCACGCCTAGGAAGGCAAACCCCCAGGCCTCAGCCAGGATGGGGGTCCCCTGACCCCCGCCATGGCCTGCAGCCCTGAGCAGTCACACGGCACACTGGGAGCTCAGCACCCAGCTCCTGGTGCTTCTGACGCCTGCTGGCTCCTGTTAGCGTCTTGGTCCCCGCTTGGCAAGCCCCAGAGGCCAGGGAAGGCCTGGTTGCCTGGTTACGAGGCATGGCACTTGGTAGTCCTGTGGGAGGGCTCAGGCGGGCAGCATAGATTGAAGCGGAAGTCAGGATGCAAACTCCATGGGGCAGGCAGGTCTGGCAGGCGCCTCTCCCCCGGCCACCTGGTCAGGAAGTTGGCGCCAAGCAGCTGCAGACTGGCCCTGCCTCGCTTCTGCTGTGGCACCAGTTTCCCTGTGGCATCTGTCAGCCATGGGGCTTGCCTGAGGACCTAGGGAGACCCCACGCATCTACTTCACAGGCCCCTCCCCCACCTCGCGATATGGCCATGGTCAGGGTTAGGGTGTGCAGTGTGCCTGGGAAGGACCCTTCACTCACTGGCTCCTGTGCGTGGGAACCCGAGTGGACACCACGAAGGACACTGGGAGGACAGGGTCACGCCATACCCCTCAGGCCCTCCACCTGCACTGGGCTTCACACTTCCTCAACCTAGGGTCGCCCAGCCCAGCCCTGCAGTTCCCCACCACCATTGAGCTGGCTTCTCGGCTCTGTCCCATCCCTGACTGGGCCCATGAAATGCCACAGCCACAGGCAGACAACCCATCACCATGGCACGGGCATTCACTGAGCACGCTTGCAAGGCCTGCCCACAGCACCGTCACACCTCCTTCCTAACATCCATCATGCAGCTGGCCGCACCACATTGTTCAGAAAGAAGCAAGGCAGGCCAGCCCCTGGTGATGCTGGCACCTGTGCCACGGTGCCCACTCCAGTTTGGCTTCCTGCCAGCACTCTTGGGAAGATGGAGGCAGGAAGTAGCACAGGGTCTTTGACCCTTGTCATATACCTGGGCAACGCAGGCATTCCATGCTCCTGGCCTTGACCTCTGTGCTTTCTGGGAATGGGGGGAGGGACATCGTCCAGCCTTCCCCTCACAGAGCACAACTGGGGTGAGGAGGCTGCAGACCCAGACCCTGGGGGGGTGGGCAGAGCCAGACAGCACCCCTCTCCTCTCCAGCTTCCCTGTCGGGGATCCAACCCCAGCTCCTGTCCCGCTGCAGCCACCAGTCAGGGATTGCTGTGACCAGAGGCTGTCCACACACACAGGGCTCCAAGGCTTGAGCTGGCAGAAAAGACAGCTGCAAGGGCAAAATAACCAATTTTGCCACCACGAGGGGAAACTGGTCCACAGTGTGTATGAAGCAGGAGCTGCAGAGCCGGGACTGGCTGGAGCAGGGGTTCTGGAGTAGGGGCAGGGAGGTCTGGGGGTGGGGCTGGATCAGAACCGGGGCATTCAGGTGCTCCTGCCACACCCACCGTTCCCATTCTGGCTTGTTCCTGACTGAGTAGCCAGACCTATTGCTGCTGGATCCACCCCTCCCAGCTTCTACCCTGGGACCCAGTGACCTGGGTCCTGGTCTCCCAGGGGTCTAGGCATCTGCCCAGGAACTGAAGCAGGCAGTCTGGATGGAGGTGTCTCCCTGTGAGCTGGGAGGAGCTGGGTGCCAGTCTGCACCCTGTCCCACCTGGCCCTGGGAGGTAGTGAGCTCCACCTCTCCCCCACAGATCAGAGGACATGGTGACATTTCACAGGGTAAAGGGACAGCTTTCGGTTTAGTCCTGCCTTGGGTGTGGCCATTTGGAAGATCTCAATCCCTCTCTGTAAAATTTACCTTTCAAATAAAAATAAATCTTTAAAACAAGAGAGATAGTCACCTGCATATCCTACTGGGCATTCACCAGGAGCAGGGATGACGCTATGGTGTGGCATACTACGCTGCCTGCAACACTGGGAGCCCACATGGGCGCTGGTTCATGTCCCGGCTGCTCCACTTCCCCTCCAGCTCCCTGCTTGTGGCCTGGAAAGCAGTCGAGGACAGCCCAAAGCCTTGGGACCCTGCACCCGCGTGGGAGACCCTGGCTCCTGGCTTTGGATCAGCTCAGCTCTAGTCATTGCAGCCACTTGGGGAGTGAACCAGGAAATGGAAGATCTTTATCTCCTCTGTAAATCTGGGTTTCCAATAAAAATAAATTAAAAAAAAAAAAGGGCAGCCGCACCTTCCTGCATCTTCTCTCTGAGAAAGAAGGACACGCGTGGGTTCGGCTTTCTCGGGCACCTGCCCAGACACCTTCCCCGCTGCCTTCTGGAAACAGGTTCCATGGAGCAACAAGAGGGGGTACACCTGCACCATCGGCCACCACACCCCTTGACTGACCTGTGTGGGAGTCTCCTGGTACAAGAGACAAAGAGGAATTCCATCCTCACACCACTGCCACCCAGCATTGGGGTCAAGGTGGGCCTTCTGGTGCCACTGCCTGTGACTCCGGGTCGCATGTAAGTGCAGGTAAGATGGATCCCCACCTCCACTTTGACCTCTGACCCAGCTCCCTGCTAGCACTTTTGGAAGGCAGCAGTGAGGGTTGACCCCCAACACTCACGTAAAATGACCCAGATAGAATTCTGACTCCTGACTTCGGCCTGGTAAATGTGTGGCCACAAGCCAAGCAGGCCCAAGAGGGGGACAAAGCTGTAGTGGCCACATCCTAGCACTCAGCTCCCATGCACCTGCAGCAGCGAGTTTACTGTTGGGAAAGCTGGGTGTTGTGGGAATAAAGGTTGATTCACCTCCCCGGATGGAGACTGCTGTGGTCTGGTGCATTCTCGCCCTCTACCGAGGGGCCCCCCTGGGCCACACCACAAGGCTCTGCTTGCCACCTCACAAGATCAACACACCTGTGGCCAAGCTCCAGCATCCAAACACAGCAGTCCCCAGCGCCCTGTCATTCATCCACCCCCATTCCCCAGGTGCCTGGATGAGGCAAGCGTGCTGGGCGGCAGATGCGAATTGAATGGTGATGGCACAGTGGATGAGAGTGTCCAGAAGGTGTCCCTGAGGGAGAGCCGAGCACTCAGGGGCTCAGAATGCACCTGGTGGGCCCAGGGCAGAGCGCATGTTAGTCAGCTGGGAGGCTGGCCGTGACCTTGGGCTCCGCAACTGGGCAATGGAAGTAGAGAGGCAACTGGAGGCTGGACACGGCCACGGGGGCCCTGCTGAGGGACCACGGCCACCGGAGCATGTGGGCAGGTGTGTGACCACAAGATGGATGGCTTGGTACCTGGAAATGGGGGGCAGGCAGACAGCACAAGAGCAGTCCCCAGAATCCTCCCTGTACCACCTCCTCCCCATCAGGAAAGTCATGAACCCCAGCAGTGGGGACTGGCCCATCACCGAACCCCAATTTCTCTCTCACTTAAACGTTTGCATATACTTAATTTAAAAGGCAAACAGAGAGAGCCCACCTCTGCTGGTTTTCTTCCCAAATGACCACAACATTAGAGTCAGGCTGAGAGGAAGCCAGGAGCCTGGAACTCCATCCAGGTCTCCTACATGGGTGACAGGGACCCAGCTACTTGAGCCACCACCTGCTACTTCCCAGGATGCCCATTAACAGGAAGCTGGCATGGATGGTGCAGCTGGGACTCAAACCCAGGCACCCCACATGCCAAGGCAGGCACTGCTGCTGTCACTGCCCAGACCAAATACCCACCCCAAGCCCCATCTTCGCATCTTCCACTCCACTTCCATACCGCCACCCAGAGCCCAGTTTTGGGTGTTCTCCCAGACCAACTGTCCCCCCACATGGCTGCAGCCTCCAATCTGGTGTCCTTCCAGGTCCCCATCTTCCAGCCACTTCGCAAGGTCGACTGCAGACAAGTCATGGTAAGGAAATGAACAGCAGCTGCACTTCAACAAGGTGCCCAGCCTCTCTCGTCACAGGAGAAAAGCAGCGAGGACTAAAGCCACGGGCGGGTCCAGCTGTTTCCTTATTACCTTTCAGATGGACAAAGATCAAACAGATTGGGGAACCAGGAACTGGAGGGCTCCCTCCCACGAGGGCACACTGGACTCCCGAGCTATGGACCTGCTTCTGTAGGCCACAGCCTGATCTCGGTGGTGGACAAGCACCTGTCAGTGTGTGGACCTGCAGACAACACCTACTGCACACTGAGGTGTGTGGTCTCCAAGGCCACTGACTGTAGCTGTCAGAAGGTTATTGATCCAGGCACCACGAGCGGCCACTTCCGAGGACATCCCGAGGTTCCCCTGCTGTACGACCTGCCCTCCTCCCCGACTGCCCCAGCTCCCACCAGGGCCTGCAGCAGCACTTGGCACTCTGTGTAAATGCTTGCCACTTGTTCTTGCAGTGTCTCTGGAAGTGTGTAAGGAAGCCGTTAGCACTATTGGTGGCAGGAGGAATG